CCCACAAAAACACCAATAAAACTCTCATATACACACACAACTTTCATATACTCGTGGGCACATACACACTCACGCAAATATCCCCAATCCCTGAATGTGAAAATCCCCCAAAACACTATCCAATCAATATGCTACATCTCCGGAATACAACCTCCTCACTTCATCCCCCCAAACATGCCCAAACACATGTACGAACACCCTAGCATTCTCCAAAGAAATACACTTTAAATACTAACAATCCCATATTCTATAAATAGACTTAGATAATTCATCTATCTGCTGATAAATATACACACAAACCAGTATACACATCCAAGATGCACAGAAATATCTCCAGCATATCATTTATGAATACCCATAAAAACACTTCCCAACCCCAAATTATCCCAATCTAGTATGAACCAGCTCCCACATTGCCAAGTACTAAACAATAACCATATCACACACCTCTAATAGATATAAATTCAACTCTCTCACTCTCCTGTATAAAAAGAGAACCCCATTTCTGTATCAGACACACATACTAAATTCCCAGAATATACAACCCTAATAACCACTTACTGAAAAATACAAGCACATAGCTCCACAAAGCATTCATCTAAACTGCCATGCCCTTGAACACACACACAAACTCAATACTTATGTAGTTCTCTACATGCCCTAAATATACCCACGATTAACTAACACGCCACAAATATGCAAACATGCCACCTCATATCCTCAAATATACATACAGTTCCACAATACCGGCACATATGTAATCATACTTCCAAATGCTCACACAGAAATAACTCCATCTTCCAAGACACAGAATCATACAAAATCCACCTCACAACTGCACACATTCATCTTACCAGTCCCCCAGTAGACATGGATCTGCCCTCACACATTGAAATAGCCATACACACCCCCTGAAAATCATAAAAAGACACACAAATCACCATGCAACATGTCCTGAGTACTTCCTACATTTCCCAAATACATAAACCAGAGTGTACATCCACAAAACGTACACTCTGGTCTTCCTACATTTCCCAAATACGTAAACCAGAGTGTACATCCACAAAAACAGACACAAGCACTTTATTATTGCCCATGTGCACAAGATAATTCTTCCAAATCTGCCAAACATTAGACAAATACAAGTCCCCAACATTCATCTGAGAAAACACATGGAAAATACATCTTCACAACCCAAATCACAAGTATCTAACCCCAATTCTTCTGGTATACATATCTTACATCTCATATCCTCCAACTATAAACTCTCACTCCTACATACTCTCACAAAAACAGTTATGACCTTCTTTTTTGGGGGGCGGGGAATGGAGTCTCGCTCTGTCGCCCAGGCTGGAGTGCAGTGGCACGATCTGGGCTCACTGCAACCTCCGCCTCTTGGGTTCAAGTGATTCTTCTGCCTCAGCCTCCCAAGTAGCTGGGCATGCGCCACCGCACCCAGCTAATTTTTCTATTTTTAGTAGAGACGGGGTTTCACCATGTTGGCCAGGCTGGTCTCCAACTTCTGACCTCAGGTGATCCGCCCACCTCAGCCTCCCAAAGTGCTGGGATTACAGGCGTGAGCCACCGCGGCCTGGCCCAGTTATGACCTTTAATCTGCAATCTCCAGACAGACACCACCAACCCACACATGTGAATACATATTAGATTCTCGCCAATTAAATACATATCAAATTCCAAACTAAGAATTCATATAAACACATTTTCACATACACAAAACCACCCCCACAAATCTCACACCCTCCAAAATCCAAAATAAATCTTCATGACATTCTCAAGTACACACTAACCCAACCACCCAAGATACACACATGTGTGCAGGAAATTTTAGATACATGTGTAGCCTACAATTTACAAATAATATACCACTACTTTTTATTTGTAAATTCCACATACGTAAGCGATTCTTATAGAAGCTTTTCTTGACTTTGGCCACACTCCTGCATCCACAAACAACTTGTGCTAAGTGAACAGACTATGACTAATGGCCTGTTCTTCCACTTAGCAGCTCTTCACATCACTGACAAATGAGTGTATTAAAACATGCATGCTGGCTGATCATTCTGATCAAGTCAACAAGCTTCACAACTTACTCAGTGAGGTCATCCGTGAGAATTTCACTGATTTTACGAGGACAGGAACTACTTCTTCGCTGAACTGCATCACGGTTTCAACTGCTGAGGTTTTCCTCAAGCTTCTGCATTGTTTGGAATCTGAGAGGCACAGCGGAGACACACTTTGGGGTTCCCACTGCATTGTTAAACCCTCCTCCCTCACTTCAGGGCCAGGCTAGCAAGGAAAGGAGCAAGGCCTGGGCGTCCCGCAGGGCCCCCCCTAGGAAAGCTATGAACGCGCCCGCCTTGAGCGCCGCCACAGGCCTGCTCTGGCCACAATGTGGGGTCGCCCCGCGGACACTGGTGACCAGTGGGAGCATGACCAGGAGGCGATTACCTTCTAATCACACTTGGCTTTAGTTTTAGGTAACACCAAGAAGGACTCCATGAGAGCGAAGGCCGTTGGTAACCGCCCTTTGCTCTCGCGCTGCTCGTCTCCCCGCCATGAACCGCCAGCAACAGACGCTCCCAGCGGTTGAGGGCGGCCAGCGGCGCGCTGGAACCCCGCCTGCCTCAAGGCTCGTGCACAGGCGCATGGGGCAGGCCTGGAGCCCGCCCTGGGAGCGCCCCCCTGGAGATGGGGAAATGGAGGGACGAGGCACCTGGGTGCTTCCTGGGGCCAGACAAGGCCTTCTCCTTTGAACCTCCGTGACCCTGCCTCTGAGAAACCAGTGCGTCCGCAACGGCCACTCCCAGTTTTCAGTAATACAAACCTGCATTGCATGCACTTAGGTAACACTCTTGCTGAAAGGTTTCCTTTTGGAGGGTTTATCCTAAAGCAAAGTATCCTCAACTTGCATGTTTTGCATTCCCTGTGGACTGCATTTATTTCATTCCTGCTCATTCCTTTCAAACAATAGTATGCCCTGTTTTCCTACTCAGTCTGGAGATTCCATTAAAGAACATTTCTGGCAAAGAATTTTAGACCTGAAAACACACTCCAAAATATACCTTCTTCTGACTCCATTCCCAGAGTTTTTCCGACCACATTCAAATGATTTCTAGAAATGTTTTTGTTATAGCTTTGATCAATTTCAGTTGACAGAGCAGCAGGTAGTAAGGGAACAATTCCACACTCCCCCACCCCCGACTCTGCAACACAGTGCAGAATTCCAGTTGGCAATAAAAAACTAGTAGAGAAGCAACTCAGTGACTTGAGTTTGTAATAGCTTCAGAAGAAACTTTAATCGTCACATCCTTTCTGCTCATTTGCAGGATTCCTATCATCTGTCTCCATGTGATAACACTGAAGAGCCTTCACGTCTACACAGGCCCAGGGCCTCAAGTGCAGAGACTGAGAGCTGGGCAGGACACAGCATGGAGCCGCCATTCCTCTACTGTTCCCTGATGGGGTGGAAGAGCATGTGTCCTCTGAACAGGGGATCCAAGCCCTGAGATGTTCTTTCTCAGCAGTCAGTGTGGCCCAGGACTTTCTATGGGCATGCTCAGAGAGCAGCGGCCTGAGGACTTCTAGCCACCACCTCCCATGGTCAGTCTTCACAAATTACCTTTGGCTAATTTGATTGTCTCTCCTCCTGGGGTCTAGGACTTCAGACATGCACAGAAGTGATTGCAGAATTGAGACAAGACACTGTTCCACAGTATATTTTTTGTATACTGGTCAGAAAAAGACTCATTCAAATCCTGTATCAAAGTCATGTGTAAGAATCTTGAGAAAGCATCCGCTGACTGACTTGACAAGGGAGGAAGCAACCAAGAATTCTGAGAATATTTTTGCCTCAACATCCCTCTTAGATGAAGTTATTGATTGAAAATCATTTAAGTTTGCCCGTGATAAAAGGTCTAGTCCTCAGAAAGATCTCCAAAACATTTACGGTTTGTTTTGTTTTGTTTTGTCAAGTTTACCATGATTTTGCTTGCATTGCTCTCCGTTGATCTTCTCAGCTAAGATCGAGATAGAGTTGCACAGCAGAAGAGGGCTGCATGTAAGAAGACAGTTCTGTCTCAGAGGACAAAAGGCCTGGGAGCACCCAGACAGGCAGTCACTGTGTGGAGGTCACTCCCCTCCCAGTGGCCACTGTGGAGGCATTTCATAGAAATGCTTGCTGGACCATTCAGGTTTAGAGTTGGGACAAAACCAACAATTCATGAGGATATTGGACAGGAGTTAGGAACGACCTCACACAACTGGGGCAAGGAGGGGAGAACCCTGGGCTTGAGACTTGCAATCCACCACCTGCCCCTGCAGTGTGGTCCCTGTTACATTTTCCTGCAACTCTGCCTTTCTTGAGTCCAAATGTCTTCAGAAGGGGTAAACGCTTCGTAAGTGCCAACAGGGTGTGTTTCAGGGAATGTTAGCAATGTGCAGTGGTCTGGCTGAAGGCCTCTTCCGTTCCCCAACACCCTCCCATCAGTGCAAAATTACCCCGCCCAGCAGGGAGTGACGTGTGTGTCTCGGAAGATTTTGTTGCTGTGCTCTGAGTACTCACTCCTCATCTCCTTTGACCGGTTTCCTAACACTCCCCTTGTTCACAACACAGAACCTGAGTGTTCTTTCCTGTCATTTTGACGCTGATAAACGGACAGTGATTCTCAGTGTGAAAATGAGAATGAAGTTTTTTTAAAGACAGGCTACAATAATTCCCACGCAGAGAAGCACGTGCGATGACACTAGATTCCAAACAGCAAGAACGTATGGTGAAGATGAAGCCAGCAGTGAGCTGACAGAGGCCAGCCAGGATTCACACATGTGAGGGGATGCATGGGAATGGGGATGGGACATTGGTGGATAGCATCCTGGCATGTCTCAGAATGAACATGGGTTGTGGATTTCTAACTCCTGGAGAAACCACAGCTCTAGGAATTGTAAGCTGCTTTATGTAAGGAAAGAAAAAGACGGTGTTCTGCCCTCCTGTCCCTCACAACTGTGCTTGCTGCCACTAAACCTGGAAGCTGAGAAGGGTATAATGGCTACTCCTGACTTCCTCTCATCAAATCAGCCTGCTATTGTTTTCTGCAATGGTTGTGTTTTGTGGTGAAGCCAAGATTCACACCTGAGTCTCCTTACCGGAAGTTCTCACTCTCACAGTGGAGAGTTAACAATAATCACTTCATATGTTGCACTTTTTTGGGAAGAGTTACCAGATAAAGTGCAAGATCCCAGTGAAATGTGACTAACACAGATAAAGGAAAAACAGATTTTTTTAATAAAAGTATACTCTAAATATCACATGGATCACAATTATAATAAAAACTAATTCACAGTTTATCTTGAGTTCAAATTCTACTTGGTATTCATTATTCATACTTGCTAAATCCTGCCACTCTATTCTTTTGATTTGAAGGAATGGAACAATGTCTTATTCTAGGAATTTACCTACAGAAATAGAGGAGCCACATTACTAGGATAAACACAGTCATTGTAAATACCAGGAAAACATTGGATCATATTAATAGATTAATTTTTACCCCAAAAAACCTGAAAGCATTTTTAGACAGCAAAAATAGCTTCATTATGCTTTTGACTGCATAATATATCTCTGAAAAGATGAAAAACAATGAGAAAACACCTGTTTCCTCCAGGAAAGAAAATGCAGTGGCCAGGGAAAAGAGATGGGAGGAAGGCTGGTCATTGCCTATTCCACTGCGCACAGTTTGAATTTGTAACCATGCAAAAGTATTGCTTGGTTAAATTAAAATCATTCAAAAGACAAAAAATAAACCTTTAACACCAGCACAGTATGCTAGGAAACAAAATGAAAGGATTTCTGGTCTTGGTGCTATAGGTTGCATAGCCACTCTTTCCTGGATTGAGGCTTTCCAGCAAAGGGGATGGGAAGTAAGGCTGGCCTGCTGGTGTGGACAGAGATTCCAGCAACATACATGACCTGGGGGCACAAGGATTGCTTTCGAAACAATGATGAGCAGACAACCACCTAATAACCTGGATCGGCTGAGACCATCCTGATTTCAAACACCCAGTCCCCTTGCCTTCCTAAGAACCCCTGTGTTTTCAGACTGAAAACGTGTTCTGAATTGTGTTCGGGAAGTGCATCCCCTGTTGAAATTCATCAAGAGTGGGAAAGACCCAAAGTGGGAAGGAGCATGGGTTGATTGGCACAAAAGTAGGTCTGTTGATAAAGAATGGAAGTAAAGGGGAAATCAGATATTAGCTTTTGCTGTGAGTCAGGACAATTTGAAAGTTGCCTAAAGAGATGCACACCATCTGTGTTGCTGCCGTCCAGTTGGAAGGGAAACTCAGGTTCTTGCCTAATGGCTGAAGCCGTTCACAGAATGTCCCCCACCCCTACCAGCTGCCCACTGCCCCTCCCCCTCTGCAGAATGTCTGGGGGCCTATGTTCTAAACCTATTTACATTCAAATTTTCCCTGCTCCACTTGGACTCAGGAGCATCTGCTGAGCCAGGTCACTCTCTTGGTCCTACCCTTGACTTTTCTTATTGCGGAAACTGCCAGACAGCGGTGGTCAGTGCCCAGCCTTAGAGGATGGCTTCAAATGGAGGTAAGCCTGTAGGGATGGGGGCATTATCCGAGTCTGCCATGCCTCAACTCCTTGGGAATTCAAATTTGACACTGCCCCTGGGGACAGTTGATTGGGCTGATGTTGAGGAGGGAGGGAGCACTGGATGTCCCCAAGGACATCACACCTGGGGATGGCCATGGCACCCTGAGTCTGTGGTTAGGGAGGACGAATCCTTAGAGGTGGACCAAGATGCTTGGGGGAATACACCGTGTAGGGGAAAGGTTGGAGTGGATGGATTGATCCTTTCTAGAGGGAGACAGGTCATGTCATTGTGTGTTTGTAGAGAATGGTGGGATCGTGTTGTGCTGGTGGCCTCAGGAGGATGACAGGCAAGCCTGAGTCCTGTGCCGTGTCTTCAGGCACCTGGAAGGTGCCCTTCCATAGTGTTCAGAGGAATTTAGACGGGAGTTTTCTAGATCTTAGGGAGGAGTGGGGAGAAGTGGTCTCAACTGGAAAACTGTTGGGTGGGTTGACTGTCACAGACCTTGTAGTGACAACCTCTGGGTGTGCGAGCCTGGGGGCTACTGTAACTGCCACAGCCTGGAGCCTCTCAGCTCCCTCCCAGAGCTGGCTTCTCTGTCAGTTCAGGTAGCTGTTGGCTTTGATTTAACAGGGGTGGGGGCAGATGGGGAAGTTCTGGCAACACAGGGCCTGGGCTTCCTGAGTTGTTCTGAATTGCTTGCCCTTTTGTGGAAGCTCAGGTCTTCAGACCCACTTCCTCTTGTCTGCTAGCTCATGGCCTGTCCTCTG